TTCACAGCTAGTTTATCTTATAAATGGCAACTCAGGTCAGATGGGGAGGAACCTGGGAAGAAGCATTTCAGATTACTAAAAGGAACTCTACCTTAACGAACCCTTTATAAACCACTTGGCAACTTTAAGTTGTGTGGACTTCAACTCCCAGGATTCTCCAGCCTGTATTAAAGTTGCCAAGGTTGAAAAACACTACAATAGTAGAGGAAATTTTCTTTCAGTGTTCAACAGTTTCCTTTTTTACCCCTGATTGGGAATTGAAGTCTATTTATTTCTTGATTTCTTCAACTTGCCCAGCTGGATGGGGCTTGACAGACACACCACTGTGGCATGGTGTAAAAGATTGGAAATAGATATCACTCCCTATGTTCTCACACCACCAAGGGACATCTGGGCTTTCTTTGGAACTGTGGAGCAGAGAGTTTCCCATTGGTGGGAAGATCCTCCTCCTCTTCCTCTCCTTCCTCCACCTCCATCATTTTCAAAGTTCATAAGAGTAGGAATCCAATGTTGTGTAGAACAGTAATAATTTATCCTAAAGCAGTGGAATCTTGTAAGTCTGAATGTACATCCCTCTCTCACCCTTTGTTTTCATGAAAACTAGAGTAAAGTTGGAACAAGACCTTTACTCGTTACATTCCTGTCCTGGACTCCTTAGTCCACTTTTATCTGATAATTGTCTTGGTAGGGGCTTTTTCTAATGGTCATTTCTTCTGCCCTCTATAACCTCACTTCCTGTAATCATATAACTTATACTAGAAGTGTCAAATTCGTGGCCCATGGGCCAGGTGCGTCACATGCTGACCACACCCAACCCCAGTTTAGCAAAAGGGAGAAAAAGTCACTATACATCACGTGACGACAATGTAAAGCTGCAAGTTTGACACCCCTGACTTATGCTTTTGCCTCATCCTAGTTTCTCCCATTTAATACAGAGTGTCTGAATTTCCCAAGCCTTGGAAACAGTCATAAAACAAGAAATGAATCATTATTGTCGTTATGAACCATCAGATTTACTATTGGAAAACTGAAGTATATCTTTGTTTGGATCAATAGTATTTACCTCAACTGAATTTATATCAGGTGAGAAAGAAGCACAAGAAATAAATTCTTCAGTTAAGAACTGTTTATTCAAATGCAGTCTCTATTTTATATATATATATATATATTAAGGAAGTTGTTCCTGGTGCTTTCTCTAGTCACACTTGATTTATGTATATTACAAAATGCTACTAATGCTTATTTCTGAGAAATTGATGCCCTAAACACAATTTTTGATGTGATATTTGTTTAGGTATGACAGAAATTTGAAAGCAAGATATTTTAGTCATCTGTTTTCTCATCCCTTTCTTTCGAAGTCTTTTAGACTTTCATTGTTTACCTTATTATAGTTGCAAACTGAATCACTACCATAAAAGGTATTCTTTGCATAATGGAAATGTAGATTATTGGGCCTTTAGTTGCCTTTAGAGCTTTACATGCTATGGATGTCCTTGCCATTGCCTCTCCTAGGGCTGAGACAGAGTGACTGGCCCAAGGTTATCCAGTTGGTTTTCTGCTTAAAGTAGGACTAGAGTTCATGGTTTGTAGCCTGGTACATTAACAACCATTCCAAACTGGCTCTTTGTGGAATATACTACAGCGGCAATAATAAACTGTGTGCAATTAGGAGACGTAATTCTGTGACCAGCTTCCAAATTCATGGTATCTTTGGTAGTATGAGAATTTGGCTTTCCTAGGTGGAAAATTTGGCATGGAATTTTCAATTGCAGTTCAGGATTATTATTATTTTTACTTATGAGTGTAATAGCTTATGTGTCATTTTATTAATACAAACTAGGGTCATGAAAGATGGGTCTGATAAACAAGGGTTAATTAGAGCAGTATTATTGCCTTTAAGCTTTGCTTATAGGATTTCCGGCCTTTGATGGAAATAGGCTACTTGACAGATGTTCCTTGTTTATCTCATCCAATAAAGTTCTTCTTATTCTTTACACATAGATTTATTTCTACACAGCTAATCTTCTTGTTAGAAGAAGTAACAATAGTTCAGTAACAGAATACCTGGTATTTTATGTGATGTTTCAGGTTTAGATTTCAGCACACTCTGAGTAAGACTGGAAAATTACTGTGCCTCAAATTTGTTTGTTCAATTTCTGTAGCCACCCACCTCAAGCAAGTAACCCTTGATTGCATCAAGAGTAGATATATCAAATGTTGGAAACTTGTATTGATTAGTCTTGCAGTATTAACAGTACATGAATTCCCTTCCGTTTGGGGTGGCTTATTTCCAAAATCAGCAAATTTTGATTTTGGATCTCTAGGCATCATTACATTTGTCATTATCCTCATATTGGCTGGGGATGATGGGGGAATTGATATGAATCAACATTGCAGACCCAATATACTTCTTTTCTGTTATCTTTATTCATGAACATTGGATTCATTCTATGTTGAGGTAAGTTTAGGGACGTGATGGCTCAGTGGCTAAGATGCTGAGCTTGTCGATCAGAAAGGTTGGCAGTTTGGTGGTTCGAATCCCTAGCACCGCGTAACAGGGTGAGCTCTTGTTACTTGTCCCAGCTTCTGCCAACCTAGCAATTCGAAAGTATGTAAAAATGCAAGTAGAAAAATAGGGACCACTTTGGTGGGAAGGTAATACTGTTCTGTGTGCCTTCAGCATTTAGTCATGCTGGCCACATGACCATGGAGACGTCTTCAGACAATGCTGGCTCTTCGGCTTTGTAATGGAAATGAGCACTGCCCACTAGAGCCAGAAATGACTAGCACATATGTGCAAGGGGAACCATTACCTTTACGTTTAGGTAAGCTTGGATACTGTGACTGGAAATAAAAATTGTTGCAAGGGATATTCCACTGTGACTATGATACAGATAGACCTCGACTTACAACCACAATGGAGCCAAAATTCCTGTTGCTAAGTGAGTGAGCTTTGCCCCATCTTATGACCTTTCTTGCCACAGTTGTTAAGTGAATCACTGCAGTTGTTCAGTTAATAACTGTTAAATAAATCTGGCTTCCCCATTAACTTTGCTGGTCAGAAGGTCTCCAAAGATGATCACATGACCCTGCAACCATCATAAATATGAGTCAGTTGCCAAGCATCTGAATTTGGATTATGATTGTGGGGGATTTTGCAGTGGTCATAAGTGTGAAAAGGGGCATAAGTCACTTTTTCAGTGCCGTTTATAGCTTTGAACAGTCACTGAATAAACTGTTGTATGTCGAGGACTATCTGTACACAATAATATAATAAATCTATTTAAAAAGCAGTAGATGTGCAGGTGCATGTTTGATGGACTCAGCAGATAGTGGTAAAGACTGCCATCGAGTAGAAAATGTGTCCTAATTAATAAAAGATGGAGCCTAAGGCCAAAAAAAAGAAAGAAAGAAAGAAATATCCAAAAATGTTCAAAACATTACATGAATAAATGACCCTGTGCTCTTTTCTAAAAGGCCAATTCATTCCTCACCCCCATCTGCCACTTCCTCTGTCCAATGGAAGGTCTCCTTTGCCCTGATGTGACAAAAATCTATTAATCATAGTGTTTGGCGGACAATTTCTCCTACTTTTTCTGCCTTACAGAGAATATGATTTAAAAATCACATATGAAAAGGGGAAAATATTTTAGAGAAATCAGTGGGTCGGATGTAGCACTTCTGCGCTTATTTAATGATATGAATAACAACCAAACAGAGTTGGGAGGGACCTTGGAGGTCTTGTAGTCCAACCCCTTGCTCAAGCAGAAACTATACCATTTCAGACAAATGGTTGTCCAGTCTCTTCTTATAAACCTCCAGGGTTGGAGCTCCTACATCTTCTGAAGGCAAGCTCTTCTGTTGGTTAATTGTCCTCACTGTTAGGAAGTTCCAGGTTCTTCTCTCCTTCCTTAGTATCCATCCATTGCTTCTTGCCCTGCCTTCAGATGCTTTGGAGAAGAGGTGGACCCCCACTTCTTTGTGGCAGCCCCTGAGATATTTATACAAGTATGGTATCCAATATGTGTGTGTGTGTGTGTGTGTGTGAAAGTGTTGATTCTTGCCCCAGGTTAGATGTTATTGAAGATCTGTTACAACATGCTTTTTGTCCTAATTCCATTCCTACCATCTGCCTATGTACTTAAGTACACTCTTAGCAGACTACATATAAAACTGTCTTCATAATTTTCTTCTCTGGCGACCTTCAGTGCTCACTTATGAACATGGGTTGTGACTGTATCTTACAATCTCCAGGAAGGCAAAACCCAGAAATGGCTGCTATTGCCATTGTGGAGTCTGTTACGGTTGTCATATTGGCATATGAGTGCTTTGATGCACTGCCAATAGACCAGTAAATTAATGACAAAACCACCCACATTAGTCTTCCTGATTGTTTAGCGGGGAAAATGTAGGTGCTAAAACTACTTCCATCAGAATGAATAACTAACATTTGACTATCTGCACAGGTTGGCTGACTGGAATGGGATGTAATTGCATATTTCATGTGTTTACTGCTTTGACATAGTGACCCTTTTTGGATAATTAAATATTATGAATGCTCCTTTATGTTTGTTTCCACTCCTACAAAGGGGATACTTAAGAATGTAAGATTGGTTTATTTATTTATAAATAATAACATTTATTCTGTTATACAATAGTTCTTTGCTAAGTGAGTTTCCTACAGCAGTCTTTTTATGATCAGGATTGTTACACATCCTCAACATTTGAAATGTGTCCGGGAGCCAAAATGTTTGCCTGCCTCTAAAACCTGTTAAATATATGTCTTCATAGATAATCAAGTTAATGAAGTGATGCTGTTGACTTCTAACTTTGCACTACTTACCTTAAGGGATGAAGCAATCAAGCAGGAATAAATTATATTTGGAGATAAGGCCTGTCCAATTTATGAGAATTGATGACTTTGAAGCTTTGTTGATAAATTATTGGCCCTGATGTGCAACTGTGAAATCTAACTGACTTATTTGTTTGATTTGTTCTAGGGCCGTCATGTTAAAACCGGACAACTTGCAGCTATTAAAGTCATGGATGTCACTGGGGTAATGTATTCTTATCTCACTTTCTAAATTATGAATGTGTATGATTAAAGTGCAAGGCAATTCACTCAAGAATTTGAAAGCATCCAGAAATTATTTAAATGTTGATTTGGCTTCCATTGGCTCGAGTTGCAATAATACACATGGAGAATTGTGAATAATCACTGTATCATTTCATAGAAAGCCCAGCATCAAGACATTTAGTGTCTTCAGGGGGGAAAAATCACATTAACAAAGGACAGCTATGTGGTTTGGTGATTGTTTTAAAAAATATTTTTTCTTGCTGTTCAACGTATAAAATGTATTGCTTATGTGCTTTGATGAGCAAGGAGAGGCAAAAGATATAACAGTAATTACTATTTTAATCATTTATTTGCTTCATTCTCTGGAAAACTGAAGATTGATTCTCCATGCACTGTTTTGGCAACTCTTTGTGGTGTAGGATGCAAAAAAAAAAAGTACTATAAACACAGCTGAAATTTCTCAAGAAAACTACATTTCATTAAATTTCATATAGCTAATCTCAAATAGCCCTTCAAAATTCCAAACACTACTTGTGAACAAAAGAGTTGGATGGACAGTTATTGCATATTTATGTCTTAGAGCAGTGGTCGCCAATCAATGGGCTGGGGACCACTGGTGGTCTGCGAGAAAATTTTGGTGGTTTGCAGAGAAATGTCCCTCCCAAAGTACACACCCCCAAAGCAATTAATCCAGGCTACGCGGGAACACAAGGCTGTGCTGCCCACATGGCCCGCCCACCCGCTGCGTCCCCTCCACAAACTTTACCTTGAGTAGAGCCATGCGAACTGGAACTGGAAGGTAAGACCAACGGCAAGGGAGGGAAATCTGCCCCAGGGTGGCTTGCTGGCATTAGTGGGACAGTTGGTTCCATATTCCAGAGCTGCAGTAGTCACAAGACTGGCCCTTCGGTCCTCGTGGAGCAGCTGCTCCTCCACCCGAGTGCACCAGCTTGCCATGGACTGGAACAGCTGCTCCGGGATGACCAAAGGGCCAGTCCTGTGACTACTGCAGCTCTGGAATGTGGGACCAACTTTCCCACCAATGTCAGCAAGCCACCATCAGTCAAAATTCATATTAGCAGTCCGTGGGATTTAAAATTATGAGTTTGGTGGTCCCTGAGGTCTAAAAGGTTGGTGACCCCTGTCTTATAAAATATTCTCCAAAGGTTCCTTAAAGGAACAGCTCTCTTCAGTAACAATAGTTGTGTCACTACTGAAGAAGCACAGCATGAAGACTGTCCTTGGGATATAATTAACACATGAGTCAGGGAGGCTGCAGACTTCTGGAGAGATAACTGTACATTGAAAAATGGGATATGCACACCTACTCTTTAGACACCTAAACTCAAAATAAGTGGATATCACACTCCATTCATGAAATGTTCTCTGAAATTATCTTCTCTTTAGGAACACTTTATAAAATACTCTGTTTTATGCAGCTTGAATGATAATAGGAAAACAAAATAGAACTTACAAGCCTGGCATCAATTTTAGCACTCTTGAAATATCACAAGAACACAAGTGAGAACACTGGTATTGAGAGAACATGTTTGATTTAGGCCACTAACCGTAAATATATTTTAACAATGAAACGGTGAAATATTTTTGTTATAGACATTTCCATTAATTTGGGAGATGTGTGTCTCGGTAGGAGTAAATGCCAGTTGCTGACTCAGGCCTTACACTTGAGCTCCATGTTTATCAACGAAGAAAATTGTCCAATACGTTCCTTGCTTACACAGATTCTATTTTTCTCTGGAGTTTCAAGCTCTTGATCATTCAATGGGGCCTTTCCTTTACCTTTGCCAGCCTTTGAGATTCAGTTTTGTCAAACAGCCAGCTGGGCCAGCATGTTTTTAACACCTGAATAGAGAATACAGTGGTCCTACCAATCAAACAGCTGGCTGCAACTGATCTGACTAAAATACTATAATTGTCAGGATTCCGGCAGTTACCCCAATTAAATCATGAGTCTCAAGCCAAACTTCCAAAACTAAACAGGATTTATTGGGAGTTAACATGTCAGCACTACCTGGGTGTAGCCGACTCTGAGACACATAATTCACTGTCATTCTTGACCCTGGTTTTCCCCCACCCCTCCAGGTGCATCATAATTCATATTCTCCAATGAGACACATCCATAGCCAAGAATCATCATTCATGTTTTCCAGTTAGATTTTTGCATGGCAGAAACTTTAGTCACCTAGTTATAATCTCTGAAAAATTATGTATGGAATGTACTTTCGATTTCCAAGCTCCCACACTGTTCTTTCAAACCCCTTCCCCCCCCCCTTTCTGTTGGCAACTATAAAATGGCCATAGAAATGTCCTCTTTGAAATGAATGTTGATATAAAAATAGCTAATTCTCTGCAAGAAGTAAGACAGTTTCTTCTGGAGATCTGTGGTGTACCAGCTGTTGAAGACGTTATGCATATTCTGTTTGGTTGCAACCTGTATTCTGCAGAAAGGACCATTTACTTAGATTTTTAATTAAACACTGAAAAAATACTGGGACACCCAATTGATAAAAGGAACAGAGATTTTCTAGGTATTCGGCTTGCTAGTCTTTTTATGGGGAAAATAAACAATTTGCTTGCTACAGAAACCCAGAAGGAAAAGTATAAAATAACTTAATGTTTTTCTGGAAATGTAAGCACTCTAGGAATTGCTTAATAAGAGTTTTAATTCACTAAACCACATGCTATTTTTAAGATTTATGGCTGTATGTCTTGCCTAGAAATATAGTGTGAGATTGTCTTCAGAAAGAATTTGCTTTAAAAAGACAAATTAAATGAGTTTGTGCTCCCTCTCTCATGAATCACAACAATTTATTACTTCTTTCATTCTTTCTCTTACACATGGCTTTCCCCCACTCATTCATTCACTAATACTTAAGCTCTCATCCTATTCATTCATACACAAACACACCTCTCTTTCCATCCTCCACATATGTTTTGCAATTCTCCTAGGAGGGCTGTATAAAAAATGACAACAGTTTTGTCCCTACCTGTAATAGGTTTTTTTTAAAAAAGGATAAGAGATCTCTAATCCTAGAGGTTTTTAGTCCCAGAGTCTTAGAATTTCCTCTGACAACGATAGCTGAAAATTGTTAGCAAAATATTGCTATTTGGAATCTGGGAGTGGACAATGTATGAACACACTACAATGTGATCTTTAAAATTAGCATATTCAATTAACAAGAAAACCTCCAAAATTATTTCCTCCATCCTCATATAGTCTTATATTTATTAAGTTTAACCCTGCTTCTCCCCTCCATTATGTGTGGCCCACCCAAAAGCTTACTTATACCTATCTTTAAGCAAACAATCCTTTTTCATATTATAAGATAACAGTTGACTGTGTTGGTGTTTCTATGGTAAAAAAAATTCTGTGTATGTTTTTATAACAGCAATAGCAATAGCATTTAGACTTATATACTACTTCACAGTGCTTTACAGCCCTCTCTAAGTGGTTTACAGAGTCAGCCTATGGCCCCAAACAACCTGGCTCCTCATTTTACCGACCTTGGAAGGATGGAAGGCTGAATCAACTTTGAGCCAGAGAGAATCAAACTGCCAAACTGCCAGCAGCTGGCAGTCAGCAGAAGTAGCCTGCAGTACTGCATTCTAACCACTGCGCCACCGCGGCTCATGAGAGCCAGTTTGATGTAGTAGTTAAAGGAGTAAGGAAACCAGGAAACCCTGAGTTCTAATCCTGCCTTAAACATGAAGCCAACCGGATGATCCTAGACCAGTCACTCTCTCTTAGCACTAGGAAACAGGCAATAGTAAAGCCCTATTGAAAATCTTGCCAAGAAAACTGTAGGAACTTGTCTACAGAGTCATGCATGCATATATCTATGTATGTGTTGTTTGAATGAAAATGATTGTGATTTTTGCTTTATTTCATCAGATGCAAGGAATAGAACTCCGTATGTGAGATGTGTGTTTGAATGTGTACATAAATGTACACATACACTGCGTGCTGATTTTTGCATGAAAGAAGAGTGATATATTAGGTCAATAACCACCAAGTTTTATAAAATATGCAACACAAAAGTAAACCAAATGGATGGGATAAAATACCAATATAGCAGAGTCTCTATTAAAAGTATAACATAAGCTACTATACTAAAAATAAAAATGCATATCTTTCAAAAGAAAGTAATACAAATACAGTAATACAATGTCAGAATCTGCCTAGAATCTAAGTAGTTATTCTTGGAACCAGCTATGCCTTATTTTCATTGTGGAGACACATCATTTGGCTACTGTGCAAGTAATGAAGGGTTTCAAATCTTCTAAAAGATGATATGCACACAAATTCCCTGGCCTTCCTGAAGATATAAAAGGGCGAAAAACATGTGTGTTTGCTACTTATTTTCTTTATTCACATTCCACCAACCAAGCAACTCTAAGCCCCCCTAGCCTTATTCCTTTCTTTCAGATCCTTCTGCCATTAGTTCATCTTCAGTCCACCATCTTCTATGTTTTGGTTTTGCACATGTGTGAAAAGAGCCTTTCCTACTTTCTGGCTCATAAATTCCAGGCCCCATTTAAATTCCAGTTGGAACTGAGTAGAATATTAGTTTGAATAGGAAGCAGAACCATATGCCTTTAGTGCAAACTACAGTTGACTTTACAAATTTGGATTGTAAAAGTTAGTTTGAAATAGATTGTTGTAAGACAGTCTGCATATTTCACAGATTTACTGTTTCATAACTATTTCTGGGGGTCTCAAGAGGCTACATCCAAATCTTTTAAGGGCGCTTGTGATTGTAAAGTGTCTGATTGTTTCTCTCTACCGTAATCCAATTAACTTCATCGTTGCATGAAGCCAAAATACCAAGCAACCTAATGTAAAGGAAATGGAAAAATATTTACAAGTGGAGCTAAATTTATTCCATAATAAAGATATAAAGAAGGAAGCAGAGTGGTAGAAATAAAAGCAAATGAATTGTTTTTGTTTGTCTGCATCAGCTGATGAAGAGAAATAATGTCTGGTGATAATAAGGGTGTTGTTCAATTGATGACACTGTTTTATTCCCCCCTTTTTCTCCAGGATGAAGAAGAAGAGATTAAACAAGAAATTAACATGCTAAAGAAATACTCCCATCACCGAAATATCGCTACTTATTATGGTGCTTTCATTAAAAAGAACCCACCAGGAATGGATGATCAGCTCTGGGTAATACAGTTCTTTTGTTTGTATTTTGGCAATCTTCACTTTTTATTTTCTGTGGATAAATCTGAAATGTAACCAGTGTACCAGTAGGTGACAATACCCCACTCACCCATAGTTAATTTCGGAAGCTACGTACAGTTGAGACCTGGTTATTATTTGGATGAGGAAACCACCCCCCAAACATATCAGAACTGTTGGAAAATTGCAAAGATGTCCTTTAAGAAGATAATGTCAAACTATTTTTTTCTCTGTAGTCACCAGGAGTTTGATTAGATTGAAGGGAGACTTGACTGCAAATACTACAGGTTGTCCTCATTTAATGAGCCTAATTGGGACAAGCTAAGCAAAGCAGTCACTAAGTGGGAAATCATAGGACTGCAACCGTGGTTTTTGGTGAGAAAGCAACAAAACAATTCAGTTTCACACCTTTGATTTTGTTTGTCCGATTTCTTCTTTCTGGGAAATGGGAGGCGAAGAAGATGAAAAAAGCAATTTCTGTAGGCAGTATCTCCTTTGCCCGACTCTTCCACTCATCCTTTACAGAGCAGGGAGATTGGAGAGGAAGGATTTCAAAAGAGTAAGCTGCTTGCTCTACAAGGGAAGGTAGAAAAAGAACCCCGTAGAGTAGGCACTTAATGACGATCATGTGGCCAAAGGATGTGGAGAAAATCATAGATGTTGGTAATGGGACATAAGATTATAAATAAATAAATAAAAATAAAAAATAAAATAAAAATAAACAACCATCTCTGGTTTGAAGAGAGCCCTAATTGCAATTTTGATTACAACTTTAAATCAGGAAAAGTTTGGCCACATCTTTTCCAACTAAGAAATTTTTATTAAAACACTGAAACTCGTACTAAAAATTACACATTGTTCAACATTACCATGTGATGCTTTCCTTTGGCTTAACACTGGCTGCTACAAGCAGGAGCAGAGAAAAGCACACCTTGTTGATGCTGAGAAAAGGTATAAGACTCTAAGATGTTTGCAGGTTTTCAAAGGCAATCTCAGCGGGGTTTGCAACGATTGTTTCTTCAGCATCCATCGAAAGAAGGTGGGATATAAATATTTATGAGATACCAACGTTCCCCTACATTTATTTGAATGCTTAGAATGCATCTTTTCTTGCAAGTCTGCAGTTCAGCACCTGTGCATTGTTAAACATTTCCATGGTGATGGTTGTTTCTTTTAACTAATTTCTAGAATTAGTCCATGATTCGAATCACCTGTTCAGAAAGTGTCGCTGGGTGCAGAGGAGAGGTGAATGTACATTTTGTTCCGTCCAAGGAAATTACTATATTTTAGATGTCCGATTGACTTAGAATTGGTGACACTTCTATTCTTTCTGCTCTGGAGATAAATGCATCTTTATTTTTTTTGCTGTCATTGTTGCTGGAATAAAACTCCTTGATGATAAGGCCAAAGTAATTCTCTTTATCAGTCCTTTGCTGAGGTGATAATGGAAAGGTGGAAGGGAAGCCAGATTTTTTTTTCAATACAGATTGTGATCTCTCTCTGCAATAAGGCAGGTTTCTGACATATTCTATGGCTATCATGCTTGAACTGCCCCTTTTTATTTGGCCTGCACATATTGCTCTGTAACAAGAAAAAAACAAACACCACAGGTCTATTAAATGTTACCACTTTTCCTCAAATATGAAGGTGGCAAATTCTAGCTTGATTGTTCTCCAGGAAAACGCAACTTTTCTAAATACAAAGGGAATTGGATCTCGTGCTCACCTCCTGATTCGGTAGAATTCCAATGTCTTATCTTGTTTTCAAAAGTCATCATTTCAGATTATTTGTCCTGATAGGAGAAGTGTTCTTGGAAAATTCCAGCTATGGGGTGGAAACTAATCAAGGAGAGAAGCAACCTAGAACTAAGGACAAACTTTCCTGACAGTGAGAACAATTAATCAGTGGAACTACTTGCCTCCAGAAGTTGTGAATGCTCCAACACTGGAAGTTTTTAAGAAGAGATTGGATAACCATTTGTCTGAAGTGGTGCAGGGTTTCTGGTCTAAGCAGGGGGTTGGACTAGAAGACCTCCAAGGTTCCAACTTTGTTATTCTATATTCTAAAATGGGAAACATCTTTTTAGTGACCATGCATTTCAAAAGCAACGGGAGGGCTTATTTGGTCCTTTCTCTCTCATTCTATGGTTCTGTCCTATTGACTGATTTCACAGTTGGGTTTTAGAATTAGTGGATGTTGTTATTGTAAGGATACTGATTTGAGTTATTCTAAGTTGTTTATACAGGCAGTCCTAGACTTACAGCAGTTTGTTTAGTGACTGTTCAAAGTTACAGCAGTACTGAAAAAGTGTCTTATGATCGTTTTTCACACTTACGACCGTTGCAGCATCCCCCATGGTCACATAATCAAAATTCAGATGCTTGGCCACTGATTCATATTTATGATTTTTGCAGTGTCCTGGGCCCATGTAATTGTCTTCTGACAAACAAAGTCAATGGAGAAGCCAGATTCAGTTAGCAACTGTGTTACTAACTCAACAACTTCAGTGATCCACTTACCAACTTTTAGCTTCTTAGCCACCTTGAATCCTATGTGATGGGGAAAGGTTATGCATTTTCTTAATGAATATTGCAATACTGGACAGCTTCTCTGTTTGTGGGAGCTGCCAGATTCAAGTCATTGGCAGTAGCCCAGCAAATATTTTTGATGCTTTTAAAACCTTCTTCACAAAATTATCTCTATTTGGCAATCATGTCTTAAAACCCCTCTGAAGTGTGGAAAATAAGTTCTGGCAGGGCATAAAAATCAAAATTCTAGCTTTAACATCTATATGTGAGGACACCTTATTATTACTGTTTGAAAGGACTGCCCATTTTAAAGAAATATTAGTGAAGAGATGGTTCTAAATCATAACATAGATAATAAATTGTTCTGGCTTACAGACCTCTGCGCCCGGAATTAGATCAAAATCTTAATCAGCTTTCATCAATTAGGGAAAGCCATGGTGGGAAATGTGAGCTCTGATTGGGGAATTCTGGGAGTTATAGATAATTTCTAGAGGTTTACTAGATTGACCATAATTCTTTGAAGATAATATGATTTATCACTTACAGCTTTTATGTACAACTAATTCTATACCTGTGCTTCACTATGAAACTATGTGATCGTGCTTAGTTTTTGGGGAGGAAAATAAGGTGGGGGGGATTGTGTCTCTGCCTACCAGCATCTATCAATATTCATCTGGCTAGTGTCCTGTCAGTGTGTGAGAGAGTTGACGGCTGTTTGGAAACCGAAACATGGAAACTGAAACAGTATTTGCTGTGTGAGCAAGAAGGAGAGAGCAAAGGAGCCTGGGCATGGCTTAGCTCAACTGTTCTGTACTAAAGCTTGTTGCTGCTTATGTTTTGCATTTGGAACAGATTTCTTTTCAGGTGGGGAGGGGGAGTAGAACTCCTTAGCATCAGAGCGTGTTAATAATAATATACAAAATACTAATCTGCTGATAGCCATTTCGAAAAATCTTTTCTTAGTGAGCACCTAGAAGCCAGGAGGAATATACATGCCAAATTTCAAGTTTGTAGGCTTTACGGTTCTAGAGATTTTGTGATGATGCCTGAATGATATTTCACACACACACACACACACACACACACACACACACACACACATGCGTGGATCTTTGGTTATTCGGGTTTTCTCCCGCGTAAAATTGGAAGTATCTAGGCGACGTTTCAATGAAGTCTCATTCATCATCTTCAGGCTTGTGTCTTCGGCTTTGTGCTTCTCGGAGTAAGGGGGGAATTCTGTGCTATGAAGAACCTTAACAATCCAATTCTCGTGGAAAAGATGGTCTTGGATTCCGTGCAGTTGGGGGAGCCCTACCCCTACTGATCTCCCATTCCAAGTTAGCTGTCCCAGCCCTACTCTGACCTCACTACAATTTGGGAATGATTTTGAAAACTGGTTCCAAATACGAGTTTTACTCCGAGAAGCACAAAGCCAAAGACACAAGCCTGAAGATGATGAATGAGACTTCATCGAAACGTCGCCTAGATACTTCCAATTTTACGCAGGAGAAAACCCAAATAACCAAAGATCCATGTACAAATACCCACAAAAATATATATGAAGAAGATGAGAGCTTATACACCAAAGACAAATTCCTTGTGTGTCCAATAAATAATTCCATTCCATTCCACTCCAATGAGCCATGGGAACCAGGATAGACCACAATATGAGGCTTTCGAATCTGGCTTGTATTGTAATCAGGGCAATAAGACAATTGTCCCCAAACAAACTTGTCCTATGATTGCCCTTCCTTCATTACTACCCTCCCTTGCTTTGCTTCTCCTTCATCTTTTCCTTGTTGCTTTCAAACTTTTCTTGAGCAAGCAATGTGGCACTTAGCATGGCAGATCGTAACTCCCTGTGATGGAGTGTGGGCTTCACTCAGACAAGAGGGAGGGGAGGGATGTTGAGCCACTACAGAAAAGATATTGTAGTCCTGGGAAAATAGAAAGAATGACAAAGAAGCTCAATTCCACTCTACCTTGATTGTATTGGGTATAAATTGAAGTAGGCAGGGCTCTGTCAGACTTTCCTGTTGCAATCAGTTTAAGATTGCACTACCCAATCTAAATCGATTAAAGTATATTCCAAGACTCCTATCAACTCCTCTTTCTTAAATGTGCCTATCTCAAAGGGTTGACACTCCCCAATAATTTTATTTTTTGTAAATCTAGGAAAACCATGTGCAGGGTCACTGTTCTAAATAGAAAGAGAATTGGATCTAGTGAACACCTCTTGAATCTGTGGAATTCCAATGTCTTACCTTCTTTTCAAAAACCATCATTTAAAATTATTTGCCCTGATAGGAGATGTGCAGGAGAAGTGCTCTTGGAAAATGGGAAAAATAATTTTAGTGACCATGCCAAGGCCATTTCAAAGTTAATTTTTAAATTTAAAATCACTAACGGGCAGATTTGAGAAATGCAAGATTGAGTTGTGGCCCAGCACATTTTGAG